ACACACACACACACACACACACACACACACACACACACACACACACACACGTCTCTGTGCTTTACCCACAAAAGTTGTCAGGATGAGTATACTGATTTTATTCACATGGAAAAATATATCACCTACATATTGTAGAGAAGCCCTCAAAGCGTTGCCCATCATCTGTATAACCCGGGGAAGAAAACTTCGGGGTTCAACCCGAAGGTCCGTGGCTCAAAGTCTGACAGAAACACAAAAGTAGCAGGGGTATAACCATATTCCCGATGCTTTTTAACAGCGATGGTACAAAAAAATCACATCGTGACGGGGAGTTGAATGAACCCTTCGAACCGATGGATTTTAGCGGTTCGGTGTGTACATACCCTCAGGAAACCACAGATCTTACGCGTGGTATAAACGCATTTAAACCCAGCAACAACAGTATTGAACACACCCCATATCTTTTGGCTTATCTCTGCTCTCACGCACACGAAAATCACTATCTTTTGAAAATCTAGACAACAGCCGAACAAAATGCCGTGATGCGAAATTTCATTAGTTTTTAATTTTAACGAAAATATGTCGAAGAAACGAATTTTTCACCGTGAGTAAATTATTGCACTCCTCGTTCGCACACCCAACCCGGTTTTAAAACTAGTGTAATAGGCATCTCGAGTATGTACTTTGGCATGCCAACTGACAACCGTGGTGAGGTAATGGCTGACGGACTGTTGTAAGCTGCGGTCATTCTCACGTCACTTCCAATTACCTTGAAAGAACAAAAACGTCCAAGCCGATCACCACCACGCATTGCCAAACAGGGCGCGATGGGAGAGACCTAGTGATAACGAGGAATCCAGAAGTGATGCCTTTCGTGAGATCAATAAGTTAACCAGACACTGCTATAGGTCCCGATCACATTGTAGCACGATGTTTGAAGCGAAAAAACCGTCAGAAACCGACTGGACAGCAGAGAAAGCTTTGGGGAAAAGGTTAGGGTGGGTTGCTACGTGTGACCTCAAACTCCGAGAGTCACACATCGGAGATGAAAACATTGCTTGAGTTGAACTTTCCGGTGCAAACGGTACAACGAACATTTAAAACGGTTAACCCCTTAGTTGAACTATAAGAAAATTGGAAGGCGCATAGCTCTAACAACTTGACATAAGGACAGAATTTTCATCTGTAAATGCACATCTATACGATTATTTCAAACACTCAAAATATCGGATTCATCTAACTTGCCCGTTTTCCCTAACCAAACCCAAATTACACAATTCATTTTTCCACCAGCTTGTTCAAATGACTCATTGCAACTCCTACGTTTTTTTGCCTCACAAGAAAGGCTTACTACAAACTGAGACTCATGTAAGTTGGAAAAAACAAACGGAATATTGTCTAATTTAGTAATGAAAATGATTTGAGTGTAAGTGGACTCGACTCGCGAAACCACTACTGGCTCGATTTGTGGGAAGAGTGGTACTTCAGTAAGCGAATTAGTGATCGAAGCTCCATGATAATGCGGGATCCCTTATATTGCTTGGGGTACAAGATGCTGGTGCATATGTTCGTACACTGGAGTGGCACCTTATGTTAGCAACGGAAACAGAAGCCATATTACAGCATGACCTCACCGTATTTTATTACCCGTAATTAGAAAAATGCTAGCTATTATTTCGCGGCATCAAAATAATGGTGTGGACAGCGTGGGCTCAGTTTTGGACCCGATAGAAAATATTTGGACTATCCTAACCCAAAATGTGTAGCAACAATTTAAATTTTACACCACCACCTACAAATCAGAGGCAGTGTTGATTAGGAAGTGGAATAACATCGATACAGACATGATTCAAAGTCTTAAACAGAGCAGTTGTGGCTTTAATGGACGGTTGCAATATTTTTGTGTTACGGTTCACACCTAATTAAATATTCAACAAACAAAATATCGCAAAACCATACGAGTTCCTCAGGTATTGCACAGCATCCATTCGCGTTGGAGGGTCTGACTCTGTGCGTGCTCTTTGTGCATACACCAACGAAACGTTCAAAGTCGACCGAATGGATAAACACACACACACACACAGGTACACATAAACGTCTGCACCACACGAAATCTAGTAACTAAACATATGATCATCGATTGGCAAGATACAACGGCATGATTCTATCGATTCGAATAGCACACATTTAGAAGACCATCTGAATGAATGAGGCGAAATTACTTGAACAATTTTGCCGTGATGGAGAACTGCAATTTCGCGCAGGAATTCATGCGTTCAAACCATGGTGTGAGAATCAGATAACCGATTTGCAAGTGTTTGATGAGTTAGACGCACAGTCTGTGATAGAACATGGCCAGACTGTGTTGTATCGGCTTGCTCTATCTTGCTTTCCACATGCGCAGTAAGTTCGTTTGATCACGTTGTTGCTGTTGTGATTCTTTCAAGCGAATCTAAACAATATTCTCGATGATTATCTCGTGTTACAATAGACTTACCCAATTCCCCCAGACCATCACAATTAACCGTCATGGTACGATCTCGTTTGCCACAAGTCGAGAGTTTCTGTGCAAAGTGAGCCAGAAAATCAACGCTTTGAACGCATTGGTCGTGATTCAGCACTGTTTTGCATTGCAAGAATTTAAAGTGATCGGAGCTCTGGTCGATCGATGTAAGTTCGAGTGGATGGGACTGATCTATCTGCACGTTCAGTTCCGCCATATATACTACCGCACTGGAATCCAAGTGTATTACAGGTGGAAGAGAACAAATTGATTGAATTGCGCTATTCAATTTTGGGCAAACCAACCCCGTTATTCTATTGGTGTTTTCACGGATACGGTGTTCATAATCGGCAAGCTTTTGTCGATTCTTTTGATCTGCGGCATCAGATTGGTTTGCGTATCCCTCAAGCCGGGTAAGTTTTCACGTAATCTTTCGCCCACTTTGACTGTTTTTCGGCGCGTCCCAATCCTGCAATCACATTTATTGACAATTCATATATATATATATATATATATATATTTGATACATCCAGTTCGCTTCACAAATTTTAACCCACTGAGGTAAAACCATGTCTCAGTAGGATAGGGTGATTCAAATTATTGTAGGATATTGAGATTAGTGGAAGATTTGATTTGATTATATGGGGGATTTCGTCGTTTACAGAGTAAGTGAAGCAGGAACTGAATATCCTCGACCACTCTCGCATGCCAGTTAGTTCGAAATGTGTCCAACCGAGAATTAACCCGGAATTCTAACGCTGATAAGCACGAAATGCGATGTCCGCAATAAGTTCTTAAATATAGTGTGTGGTATATCGTGTATAAGCTAAATGAAAAACGATATGGTCATATGCAGGTGATTCACGCCTCGTTTTAAAAATTTCTTCAAAAACGCACCACGGCAGTTCAGGGTTCTGGGTCACTTCCTTATCCTATTAGTGTATTCCGAAAAGTTCAACAGGGATCCGTGCTTGGCCCTCAACGTTTTCTAGTTTTCATAAACGATCTAACGGGCGTTCTGAGACCACAAACGTTTATGTTTGCAGACGATGCAAAAATATGGAAAACAGTGACAAAATCCGAGGACTTGCTGGCACTTCAAAGAACACTTAATGCTGCTTATCAGTGGTCATTCGAAAAGGACATCGAATTCAATGCATCACAATGTATGGCTGTATCCCTTTGCCACAAAACTCGGTTTCCCGCACTTCCTGGGAGATCAATAACTTCCGTGGATCTCGAATGAGAAGGATCTCGGTGTCATTGTTCAAGACGAGCTAAGTTGTTCTTTAGACTACTCCATGGCATCGTCCGCCGTTGTAAGACATGTTGGTTTACTAAAGAGAGTATTTGGGAAATTTGAACCTATGCTTTTCCCACGGTTGTTACCAGCCTACATTCGACCCCACAGAGAGTGCGCCATTGAAGTATGGAAGCCATGGCTGCACCGCGATCGTATGCTTCTGGAATGGCCACCAAAATGGTCAAGGGACTGCATTGAAAGACTTATGTAGGAAGACGAACCGTTGAGGCTGTACTCCAAATAATGCAGAACTCTGGTCACCCATGTCGTTCAACGGTCGGCTTGCCGTCTAAGACTCACCTGATGGGTCACTCATTCAAAAATATCGACTAGAATGCAGGCGTCGTATTTCCTCTGCATGTGTACTATTTGAAATTCTCTACCACTCCACGTTGATTCCTTCAAGCACAAACTGGATGAAACTTTGACAATTCCTAAATTTCGACATTCGTAGCAGTACACGAAACGAGGATAATTTGTGATGTTCCTTATTTTTCTATGAGCCGTAAATTGATCCATTTGAGCCAAACCTTATGGGACAAGATAAGCAGCCGCTTGTGAGTATTTCTCATAATAAAACTTTGAAGAAAGATCGTACGAAAACCACAAACAAAAACGGCGATTGAACGTGTGAAACGATTGTCAGTCCGACTACGAAGGGTAAGATCGATCACGTATTTATTTTACTGAGAGAGAAAAGAAAGGCTTTCTCGTTTCGAACCAAACCGAGTGCTAGATGCCCTGTGTGTGAGTCTGTATTACTTGTGCCAGTAAAAGGGCTTGAGAAAGTTATAAAAATTGAGATCTACTACTTATCATTTACGCAGTAGTGAATACATTATTTCTACAGTGGTGTCACCATACCTGATTGATAATCTAGCACATACATTAATTCTTTCACATCGTTTTTAGCGAATGATATCCCCTATTTCGCTCCAATTCCTGACACCTATGGGCATACATGAAGACATTAACTCAACCAATTGGCTCTACCCGGAGACCGCGACCGACAAGCCTTTGCTAATGCAGTTTACACAGAATGTTTCCGAACGGGGATCCTTCATTCAATTGGTTTCACTCTGTAGGATGAGCGGTGGTATCAGAAAGTTTACGAATTTGCCTTGCGAGCTATCCACTGGTGCTTTGAGTGAGGTGACAATTATTCTGGGGCGAAATATAAAATCAGTTGTTCAATCAAGGATTACTAGGCTAAAAACCACTGATTTGAAATGTGAACACGTTATCGAGGTGGCGCTTCCACAGAAGTTCGATAATAAAAAGGGCTACTTGTAAAGATGTTTATGTGTGTACGTGAAATCGATTTTAGTGTGCTTTCACTGGTTTCTTCTTACACATTGACCAAGTTGGCATACTACTGAGAGAGAGACAACTTGTAGACTGAGTAAATGTTCCGTAAGAAACTTGGTACTATATTTCTACGGTTTTGCTCAGCTTTACCAAAATATTTATGTGTGATTCTCAATCTGGGCCATGAAAAGCTCTGTCACCACCAGTGAATCGAGTTTATCTCCACGCCTGTGAAATGTATACTGTGCTGAATTAGGAGGACACATTTTGGAAAGGTACAGTATGCTAGAATACTTGTGACAGTTCCTTTTCAACGGTAGATCGGACAGAAATTAATTTGTTCATCTGGTCACATAAAGAAGGCTTGGGCATAACCTCATTTTACTTGTTTCTTGAATCCCTCTCGATGGGAGCACCAATTTCTAGGTGTTGCATTCCCGTCTCATTACCGTATTCGGATTGTATACAGACTTGACAGAAGTGGTTTTCAATTTTTCCCGAGAATCGTTTAAATTTGTCTCGTGTGAGATCTATATTATAACTTCATTTCAGGTATTAATTAAAAACATTTATTCGTCTTCTCAAATCCTTATCTGATTTCCAATAAAGCTGTCTCGTTGGTGATGGTGTTGGTTTTGCTGAAGTCTGAGTCTTTACCAATAGAAGCCATCCACAAACTGAAATCTAGTATTCTCACTAAATGGAATAGATTTAAAATTAAGGTGATTGGCAATTGTGTGATAGTTGGGCTTATGCAAATTTTATGGGTTCTGGGGACTAGACTTCCACACATTTGATCAGTGGTTGATTGATTTTCTTTATTCGGTCAAAGGGTACGAAAGACTGATTTCACAATCTTCAGACACATTGTTAACGTTGATACATCAAAGTAAAAATCCACCGATGAGCCCATCAATACGATGTTAAGCTGAGGCATAAGCACATCAAAGTTGACTGAATCGTTATTAGGTGTTCATGACTGCAGCCAATTGGAGATATTTGTCAAAAAGCATTTTGTGCACCGTTTTTGGTCCTCGAAACAAAACCCTGATGCAACCTCTCATAGGTGAACATAACTATGTGGATCGACCTGCCTGTAAAATGAGCAGGAGAAACACAAAAGTGAGATTCATCTGCAAAATCTTTTGGAATTTGGTTTCTTTGGTCCACACTGGCAACACAAATATGGTTGATAATCATGTGCGAATTATTTGCTTAAATCCCATCCATTCCAAAAGTAAACGCAAAGAGAGATTATTTTGTGAACTCCTTCATCTCTCTCTCTTTATCAACTGTCAACTTCTCATTCCGCAGACTGGACGATGCAGGGGAATATTATTGCTGCATACTTAAACGCGAAGATCTGGGATTTTTTGCGCAGACCCAACCCGTCAGAATCAGAGTCACATCAAAGGTGAGTGAATTATATTTTATGGATGAGGACGATACTGAGGATGAATTTTCCGATTATTAAAAAAAACTTTGGCGAAATAGTTTCACAGAGCACATTTCAAACAAAACAACAGAGTGGCGAACAAGCTCGTTGTCAGAGATTCGTAGTCATGCCAATGCATCTCAATATACATCACTACTTGAGAATAAAATTTTCATGAGAAAATAAAATAAAATCACAGATTTTTTCCATCGCATTTGAACGCATTGTCTCGTGGGAAGTTAACAATCTCCCAAAGAGCAAAAATCACGCCAAAGACCATCAAGAGTGCCTGGTGCATCTGAACAATTAAATGGGCTAATCCAAGCTTGATACTCTAAAAATTGATTGAGCCATTCGCACAAGGCGATGACCGTCGGCCGTGTAGCTCATGGGTAAGGGTTTGAAGTCCCAACCCGACTGATCGCGTTTCGAGTCCTGACAGGGACACGCGCACTGCTGACGAGTTCCAAACAGGCCGAAACAGCTGTCCAGTGCTGTTTGTTGGTTATCACAAACATTTCCATCGCAAAATTACAGATTAGTAGAAACGATTTCATCGTGAGACCGGAAACCGGTTTCACTACGATCACATGTTTGTTTGTCAACTCATCCGATCATCTAGTTTACTCGTGATGCGGTGTGCGGGGAGTGGGCCAGGGAAGCTTTAGAGCTTGCAAAAATTGATTTTGGGCACACAGAGGGGGTTTGTGCAGACGAATGCTCATCGCTACCGACAGCCAACCCTCCTCGATAATCGCCCACGAACTTCATACAGCGGTCGAAAAGTCACGGACACGTCCACAGAGTGATTTGTTTCAGCTAGGTATGAAACCACTGCAGTGGTGAGTGACTTAATCGTTCCGGTGTTCAGCCACTCAGGGTGGTGTTCACGAATCCGTTCGGACAATTGCCTGATCGTGCGGCCTCTGTACGTTGTTCCACAGGAACAAGTGACTGAGTACACACAGAATGAGACCGCAGAGTCTGGAACTTTGTCCTTCATTCGGAAACACACAATTGGCTTAGATGTGAACAACACACGAAGCTTGGATGTATAGAAAGTCTTATCGATTGCGTTGGATAATCTTCTTTGTATGATCTCAGCAACTGCGTCCCCTTTGAACGGCAAAAAAGTTTCGCCTTAACAGTGGTGAACCATACGTAATTTGTTGCAAGCGTTTCCCGGCGATTCTAAAATGTACATAAATAAACGACATGATTTGACTACACAAAATAGCAATACCAACCTATTATCTGAATCCGATTGTAGTAAATCGCATTCAAACGTCATTCACTCTGTTTGGCGAATCAGTGTTGTTTACTGATCGATATTTGACCGATAGGATGTAGTTGTGCCTGTGGTTTGGTTTTTCCTGGGCTTATGCGGACATCAGACTACAAGGTTACTTATGTTTGCAAACATACTTCATTCATGTGAAATTGGATATGTTGTGTTTTGCAATTCTATCCATATTTATACTGAAGCTAGACATATTTGATTCGTGTTGACGTGGACCGACCGTCCTTCAGACTTCATCTTCACGCACAAACCTCAGTTCATCCGGTCAACCATGCATCCGGGAAGCATTATAGCTTTTCAACTTAAAGTGAAACCGTTGTAACTTCAAGTGATTTCAAGCTTCACTCAATTCAGAGTTCACCACTAGTGCATATCTACTGTCCCGTCTGAGCTTGGAACTTCAGGCCCAAGTAATTGAATGGAAATCACTGAAGACGACATCAGAACAAACGAGTTGGCTGTTCTGGTCATCCCTTGTGTGAACTGTTTGGTACAGTGGTATGACATACGCCTTCCATGCGAAGGATCCGGAGATCAAATCCTAGACCAGGCGGTGGATATACGTCATTGCGGGAGGCGTAACTTGAGGCTGATGCTTCCCGAGTATAAGTTCGATAGGATGAACGGAGGAGTGTGCCTGAAGGTGAAGTCGGATGATGGGTCAGTTCATATCAGTGTAACTTATCCCGCACCAATAATTACAAATAACTGGGAGTCGAATACAAATACTTATGTGATGGAACAAAACCGTATAAAGCGTGGAGCACGTTGTTCAACTGTGGATAATTTTCGACTTGGTTCATTCATCAGACAATAACGCTGTGCGTGAATGTTTCACACAATTGATCAATAGTGCAGAACAGATGTCAGATCGGTATGAGTTTACTTTAGTGGGTTTCATATCTCATGATTTCCTGTTTGCTTAAACGAAATTTTCCCACTTGTTTTGGTCATTTCAAACCTGAGAGAAAATGTTTTAATGATTGCCTTTGCCGAAGCGAAAATGATTGCAGTGATCCACACCAAAAAATACTGTCGGATTGACTTTCAGCTACTCATGAGTAGCACAACCTCTATCTGCACGCATTTTCAGGATCCGGAGAACGTGGAGCATGCACGGAGTAACGTGTCTTCTAGACCTATTATCTGGTCCAATATATCATTGACCGGTGAGTTTAATCGATACTTGTGATATCGCAATGCTAATCTAGTAGAACTGGGTGTTTGAAGTGACGCAAACCGGAGCGCAGTTGCTACATTTAGGATGTTACAGTAGTGAACTGATACCAAATCTTTTGATGAAGATTCGCAAAAGCTGTCATATGCGTAGTTTGAAAAAAAGACTGAATGCACCAAGTGTCAAAAGTTTTTATGTTGCATCTTCTTTTCACTCACACTGAAAGGGACACAAAAAGCATGCACTGCTGACGAGTCCCAAACACGACGAAACAACTGTCCAATGCTCTTTGTCGGCTATCACACAAATATTTCAACCGCATTTAGAGGTTGCGTTTTCATCTACTATACGGACTACTATTGATATCAATCAGTGACAGAACACCGTTGCATCAAATAAGGGGAGTTTAAACAAACGGAGCTAAAACGCCATTTATGAAATGTATTCTAATACATTGCATCATGTTGCACAAAACTACCCGAATGTATCTATGGAACGAGACAGAGGACAGATTAGTTTGACTTGAGTGAAATAAAGTTACGTGTACCGAAAGAATTCAGTATCGCTATCGAATGGGACAAATGATTGGTATCGATTCAGGAATCCACTCAAAATCCGAAACAACTGTGCTATCATTTTTAGTTGACTCAGCTCGCTCCGAAAAATTGCCAAACTATCCCTGAAGCATTTATAGCTTTGTATATTCTCAACAAGTATGCTTATTTTTCCCCTCTCTCCCGTTGCATCTATGACACTTTTTTCTATTTAACAAAAGCAACGAGGAAAGTGGCATTATTGATTGGGAATACGAAATTCGATCATTTTCTCGCTTTGAACGATGATACACAATCGATGCGTGTCATGGAACAATGTTTGCGAAATCTTAATTTTGAAGTAAGTTTTCTCCATAATCTGTTTTTAAACAACAGCAAGAGTATCTGAAATCTCGCGACCCTGTTCATCCTATCAATGAGTTGTGATTCTGATATTTTGGTCTGTGTAGCTATTTAGGATCACCTGGGATATGTAGTGATAATAAGGACCGTGGATTGTGGAACGACCAAGGATGAAACAAAGATCCAGTGCTTTTTGTTTGAGTCCCGGCGAACTGCATTCGACATGTGACGAGTAAACCATCTGTTAAAGAGTAAAATCCAGTAGACGAAATGAGAAAATCACACACACACACAACGCATAGTGGAAAGTGAAACGTCCGTGGATGTTACAATCCTTATTCGGTTCAAAATTGGCATATTTCATCTGTTTTTTTTGTGACTGTAGCCATCAGTATCCCGGATAACTCAACCTGGATACGGCCATGCAAATCAGATTGATTTGTTATTTGTGGCCTAGTGATTCACAAATATTTTCTGCCCATACGAAAATCAGTTTGTGGTTTGTGCTTCCCAATGTTCCCATTCGTAGCTTCATGCAACCTAGGTGAATAAACGACTTTCGATAGCTTGGAAGTACTGAATAAATGGAGAATATTTCAACTGACAGTAACATTTAGTCTCTGTTCTCTGTTCACGGGGAATGAGTGCAGCTTAGAAACTGTCATTGAAGACGCGGTATGAACAAACTTGGATGCGGTAATTCTGGCCGACCTGTGTTAAGTGGCAAATGGGCGAACAATATACTACTGTTCTATTCGAAGGATATGGAGT